TGGAGAGTATTAATCTTTAATGTTGGAAGAAGTTGTGATGATTTAATTCTATGTACTTCATTTACTTCTTGATCTGCATATCTAGATGTTAAAATTTGTTGTGAGAACATGTAAGAAACGGGCGGGTATTGTCTCAGTCAACAATTGGAAAGAATCATACGAGATTATATGAATGAGAATGTAGTTCATATGATTGAGTGCAAATAAATAGGAAAATAATCTTTGAAGGGTGTAGAGTTAGAGGACTTAAGAGTGATAAGCTAAAGCCCCCAACTTAGTTTATTATTTTAGGTTCTGATACGAGATGTTTGCCCCCAGGTGGAGGGAATCGAGGAAACTCTAGAGTGAGAGCTGGTATTTTCCCTGCCGGTCTTCAGAACTATTCAAACTTTAAATTAGCCAATGTTCTTTATAGCATCTCTAGTAAGGGTAAAGAATAATATTGCTGATATTTGACACAACACAATTTGAATACTTCCACAACTGAATTCCTATACTTATTACTGATTCATGATAAGGCAAAATATATTTCATATTAAGTACTTCTCTTTTACCAAAAATATAACATAAACTTAAGTTATCTTTAGAAGTTTTTATTGTTTTGTCAAAGTATAAAAAATACAAAAAAGATTTGAATTTTAATTACTGTAAAACATCTATAGTTTAAGCATCTATAGTTTAAGTAATTGTATAGTTTAAGTAATTGTCTTTTTAAAATAGAAAGTTTGTTGTTTAATAATGCATATTGTGAAATTCTCGTGGGTTCGACATTCAGGTCTTAATCAAAAAGTCCTATATTACTTGATAACGATATGTATACTTGCGTAGTATCCCAATATATATATAAATTTAAAAAGTTAAATTCTTATTTTCTCCAAGATCAAGTTTTTGGTACTATTACAAAGTAAGGAAATATAAGTGAAAAATATAATCAAAGACATTATTATATTGTTGCATATAAATAGTTGGGATCAGTACTCTAAAGAATCCCTAGTCTCTGATAGAAAGAAAGAAGTTGGTTCTTCTTCATGCTGACTTAAATTCATCAAAGTAGGTTTTTGTTCGATTAAAATCAACTTACTAGTAATCTTGTTTTGAATAATTATTGAGACTTTAAAGAGTGAATGTACTAAATCCAAACCTAGAACCATGCCCCTCATCTGATCACCTTCCCTTGCTTTTTTGTTTGTCCCTCTTAGAGGAGATCCACCCGCTATCTTTCTTTTCCTTAGCTCTTATGAAAGTCGGGCAGCCTTGTCCAGTTGCTTCTCTTCTGCCTCATCAAAGGCAGCCCACATCTCTGGGTCATCAGACCATATTCGCTCGAGTTCATCACCTGATTAACAGTTAGAGGGCCAGTGTATTGAACAAATGATAATTACTTACAAATGATGTCCAATTTGAGTGCTTTAATTTGGAGAAAACCCCCCTTTTTCTTCTTGTATGTGCCACTAGTCCTTATAGTCGCAATGCCTCAGTCATTGCAACTACCCCTTAAGAACTAATTCTTACTGTCATTTATCTTGTTCTCATAGTCGATCAAATTAAATTTTTAAGTTGATCCAAAAATGATGTACCATCTGGTTCTACCATAAAGATGAACATTTGGGAGAATAACCCTTGGGAACATGAGACCTCCATCCGACGCAAATAAATCACATAGGTCATGACTACCATAATAGAGTTTTGCTTAATCTTGGTCGGGATCACTTCATAATGGTTGAAGCTTGATTGAAGCTCTGTGAAAAGGCAGCCTAATCCCTCACCAAAATTGGTCCCGATAAAAGATTAGGTCACCCCTCAGAAAGTTAGTAGCACGAAATTCCACATCTACCTATGTTATACCGACACTTAGAGTCATACATGCAAGTATCGGCTAGCAACTCACTGTCAAAATCCATTGAAGTAGACCTTCGGTCAACCTTATCAAACCGAACATCTAGAGAGAATATCTTAAAGCCATCAAGCTCTGAGTGAAACCAACCTTAAGGAAAGAAAAGTGAAAAATGAAAGTTTTTTATGTACTCTCCGATCAACCCTATGTATAGGGTACATAAGGAAGTTGAAATGTCCCAAAAATGTACATTAGATTTCAAAAAATACATCATGTCGGTGTAAAAATTGAGGATGCACAATTATTAAAACCTTGAAAATTGGGCAAAAGATAGAATTTTATTCATAATAAAAAATACATTACAGCTTGTTCGTCTGCCGCTTCAAACAACACCAGGCCTCGACTTACCAAACTAGAGTACGAATCACGCCCACCAAACTTATACTTTTATATCCTCTCCTCTTTTGCTTGGACATGAGAGATCAAACTAGCCTCCTGAACCTCCATTAGCTCACCTCAAAGACTCGCCAACTTAGCTCGAAGAGTCTTCATATTTGCATAGAGGACTATCAACTCCGTCTTCAAATCTGATGTAATATTTTCACTATGAAGACCTGTTGTCCATGCAAAAAGAGTTCGCGGTTTTATTCATGTGTCGCTCCAGTGACTCTTCGGAGCCCGCCTACCTTCCATTTCTTGATTCAGGTCAGCAGAAGGTGACAGATGGTCGGGCATTTCTTTAGTTGTAATACGGGTAGAAGGTTCACCAAGTGCCTACAGTGCAGGAGGTTGCCCGACCCCTTATGCCAGGAGTTGACAATTCTTAGGACTTCATCTACAACAGTATAATAGGGCGTTAGAGTGGACAAAAAAAATCAAACAAGGAAGAAAATTAACCAATCAATCCCACAATCTAATGTACGGAGACTCCCCGATAAACGAAGGAACATCACTCTGAACTGCCTCGTTGACCAAAGACCAAGGCAGAGCTTGTATGACCACCTTTGCAGGCTTCTGTTCTAAAGGCATCAGTTGGGTCAGTTGCTAGAGAAGTACATCAAGAGCCAAGATAGATGCATTTGTGATGTGAATTCTTGTCCAGCTCCCCACCTCTAATAGATGTGGCGAGTCAGAAGATCCAATAATCTCCTCTACCCTCTGCTTCTTTGTCACCGCCTGCTTCATCAAATTGGACCCCTCAAGTTTGGTCCCTTCGACATTTTGTTTGTTATCAGTTGTTTGTTTCTCTATCTTTCGACCTATTCTTAGTCGGCCGACCCTCTTGTGAAGATTTCTTCTTCAGAGCTAGTTAAGATCTCTCTGGTTTTCTTTTCTTCTAGCCCCCTGAAGGGTGAATCTCATAACTAGGAAGCTTGAAGGCCCTCATTAGTGCTTCCTCATTCACAGTTTTTTTGCACCCGATATTCTCATCCTCAGGTACAAACGATTGAAAGGAAAAAAAATTTCATAAATTTAGAAGGGAAGCGTTGTTCGCACCTTATCTATAGGGACAAGCAACATGAAAATCCAGAGAATATAATTATTGGTATTGTTTATTACTCATTAAATAAGCAATCATTTCATTTAATTCTCTTACTCTTATGGTAGTTGTCACTTTCATAGAAGTGAATCATGGAACTAAATAGGTACATCAGAAATGTGACTGCAAGATCCTTGAGGAGATTCAATGGATAACACTGTGAAAGCAGTAAAAGATCGAGCTATCCAGCATCATTTCAGTTGGTCAAATCATTGCCCGATATAATTAAAATTCATCTAATCCAAAGAACGCCGATGACAACTTAACAGTTACAAAAGCATTCCAAAGATCAACGATAGATTAGCAGAACTCTCAACTAGTTTTCTATATAGATTTATCGACCGAAAGAAAGTTCTCTATCAGATTGCGGTGATGCACCCTTTGTCTGATGGAATAACCCTTCTTGAGGATAATAGCCTTCATGCTGGATTCACTCGAAAAAGTTGACTGAAGATCTGTCGTTTGGTTGAATACTTTTGTTCAACCGAACTAAAATTGTACGACCAAGTCGAGTAGTTATGAATATGAAATGATGTCAGTGACAATTACAATTACACAACAACACCAATAGTAATTATCAAGGTCAAAAGATGTCGAAATCAGTTAAAAAATATGTAAAAGTGTAATGACTCATAAATTCATTGTAACATTCTCATTAAGTGAGAGAAAATAGTGTAATTTATTAGACATCCTTCTGAGCTGTAAATAAGAGGGTCATTTTCACAAGAAAAGACTATTGAATCTTTCTCCTGAGACTTAGCATTAGTTGTGGCCCTCTTTCTCCTACTTCCCCTCATTCTCATCTGATTTCCTTGGGCGTTCAACAAAATGATTTGTCAATCTCTTAAAATAATTTTACAGTTCTTCTAAGGATCTAATTGTTCAATGCTTGTGGATGACACACAGCTTCATCTGTTATTTTATTCTCCATTTGAAATAAATATTTTCTGAATTTAGATGAGAAAAATAAGAAAATAAAATTGAGTTAAAACTCGTCAACACTAAACAATTTATTTAAACAAATAAATCTTCCAACTCAATTTTTTGAAGAGCTCATTTGAGATTAATTTTATTTTTTATTTTATCATAAGAGCCTATTTTTTTATTTATTTATTATTTTATTTTAAAATAAAACAATTTATTTTAAAAATATTTAAAACATATTTTTTTACTATTTCAAGGCTTTCACTGCCGCTGCTCTGATCACCATATAAGTTAAATCCATTTTAAATTAAATAAAAGTAAAAACCTCTTATTTCTTTTTAAACAGAATATAAATAAAATAAAGATAAAAAATAAAAAGAACAGTGAGATCCCAGACAGCTTCTTCTATGGAATCACTTTTTATTTTATTTTTTATTTATATTTTAATTCAAAATAAAACAAGTATATTTTAAAATTTACTCAAAATACTTTATAATTATTTTTGAAATTTTATAAAAATAAATGCATTTTTTAAAGCAAAAAATAAGAATACACAAAATATTAAAAAAAATAATCCAAATAAGACCCAACAAGCCATCATTTTGAAAAATATATCAAGGCTAAATGACAAACAAAGTCAACACCATTATAAGTATATGATGAATGTGATGCACATGCAGCTTTTCAAATTCTTACAAGAAGAAAAAAAAAAAAACTGAAAATTAAATTAATTCATTCAAGCCAACATAACTCATTTAGAACACAAGAAGTGTTCACGAACAGTAGCATTACAGCCCCCCAAAGCGTTGACAAATTTATTTTATAAATATATTGTACTTAATGTTAACCGTAGCTATCACAAATAGATGGAGGCGAATTTTACAGGCAAAATCATTGTGTCAATTAGTTGATACGAGTAACAGCAGCATGAATAGCATCTGCGAGATGAGGAACTGTTTTTGAGCTCAAACCAGCCATACTGATCCTCCTGCAAGCCAATAACAAAAGCAATAGTAACTTTCCTAATATCTTTTAAGCGAGCTGGCTCTTGAACTAATGAGTCAAGTTGGGGCTAGCTTAAACTTTGCTCAGTAACTCCTCGAGCTCAGCTTGCGAGCCATGCACGTAAGTATAAACTATAAAGAGATAGATTGGTCATTACCCATCAGAAGTCATATAAATGTGATATTCCCTGGTCATGAAAGCGACTTGCTCACTGTTAAGGCCTGTGAAGGTAAACATTCCAATCTGCTTGACAATGTGACTCCAATCACCTGGTGTACCTGTAACCATAGAGAGCTAGTATGAGAACAGATGAAGGGTCAGATATTTCTAACTATGGCCATAACAAATTGTAAGATTTACATGCATGCCAATCGATTCCTATGTATTTACATATATAGGTCATCTTATTGATGTATGAAGAGGTCTAAAAGTTGAAGTGATGAGCGGTATAAATGTAAAAGTAAAGTTTAGGCGTTATTTATGTAAACAATAAGAATTGGATGGTATCGAAGTAAATGCACCAACAAGAAAATTTAAAAAATCTCCAGTGCAGCTGACGCAACTTTTCTTAGTTTAGTTTGTTCATCACAATGATTAGGTACTTGCGTGATTCGTTTAAGCAACTTAGTCAGCGCCTCATAATATTAGTGATGCATGGCATGCATTATAGTCTGTACGATCAAAGGAAACATTTAGCAAACTAGATTTAGATATGCTCAGGGACTGTTTGGAAGCGTTTTTTGTTTCATGCTTATTATTTTTGTTTTCGAAAAACAGAAAAAAAATGCACTTTTTATGCTTTTTTTTTAAGTGTCATTTTTAAATAGTTTCCAAAAGCACAAAAACACAAAAATGTTATTTTGCATGTTTTTAAAACACTTTCCCCAACACTGTCCCGATATATCTGCTTATAACTTTCGAACGATGCCAATGTTGATCTCGAGCCGAGCCAATCTCCTGTCGGTGATCTCATCATTGCTGAAAACCTCTTCTACTACGACAAGCATCGTTGCTTCTAATGGAGGCTTCATCCTCGTTTGAGCTCTTTGGAAGTTTTGTTACGAAGTTACCAACGGAGTATGACATGAATTAGACTTGACTTGGTCAAAACAAAAGCAATTCAAGCTTGAGACGAGCTTTCACATATTTTTTAATACTTGGCTTGCTTAAACTTTTGATGTTCATATTTGATTTGTACTTGTTTATATTCAGAAAAATGTACATACCTAACACACAATTCTTATGTATTTATATATCACATACTTAAACACTTACATTTACATACATAACATTTTGGTGCTTTACACTATTCATGAAGAGTATTTGACGTACACTTATCCGCGACATAGTGATTGAGGGTGTAGTTTCCCACCGTTAAATCACGAGTTCAAATCACATATATTGAAAGGTATAAAAGTGCTATATTTGATGTGACATTAAGGATTTAAGTGTGATGTGTGTAAACATGAAAGTTTAAATGAAAGATATGTAAATACATAAAAATTTTGTGCTATGTATGTAAATGCTTCTATTAGGTACTTGATTTTTTATATTAACTACAAGCAAAAAATTTTAATCAGAACACGATTTTTCATAGAAAAAACTTAATTTGTACTTGATTTTTTATATAAATCAAGCTAGTAAATTAGCTAAAAATTCAAATTAGTACTTGATTTTTTGTAAAAAAAATTATTAAATAATTTTACAAAGCTAAATAAATAAATAATTCAATAAGTATCAAATTAACTTCTAACTAGTTTATAGAAAATAAATAAAATAATATATAAGTTATAAGTAAATTTTTTTTACAATGAAATAATATTAATAAGTAGTAACAAATAAGTTCAATGACATAAGAAAAAAAAAATTATATTAAACTTATATTCATATTCATACAACAAGAACAACAACTTTTTATCCCACTGAGTAGGATCGACTACATTAATCTTTTTTTTCCATTGTGTCCTATTGAGTAGGGGTGTAAAAGAGCCAAGCTTTAGTGAGCCTAGGCTCAGTTCGTGTTCGGCTTGTTGATAAATACCACAGTTCATGTTCAACTCATTTATATATGGAGATCAGAAAATTTACTCGTGTTTGGCTCATTGCTTTCTGAGCCGTACACGAGCTGTTTGCAAACAATGAGTTGTTTTGATAGCCCTAGTTACACAACCGCAACATGTTAAGAATATGAGTGATATTTAAATCTTATTATTTATATTAAAATATTCATTTAAATAGAATTTAATATATATTTATTCTATTTTCTAAATTATAATTTTAATTGAATATAAATCTTTGTAGCCTTATAGTAAATTAAACTATTTAAAAATAATACTAATCAATTATATATATGTATATATATATATATATACATATTCGAGCCAAAATGAGTCGAACACGAATAAACAAGATTTTATTTGTGTTCGGCTCATTTGTATATCGAGCAAAAAAAAAATATTCGTGTTTGGCTCGTTTGCTTAATGAACGAATCGAACACAAGCTACTTAACGAACCGAACACAAGTTGTTCGCGAACAAGTCGTTTTGACAACCCTACTATTGAGTGTCATATTTTCATTTAATTCTAACAGATTAAGATCATTTTTTTTATAAAATATGCCCAAGTCCTTTTAGGTATACTTCTGTCTTTCTTAACATAAATCAAATTTAAAACATCGACTCTTTTAATCGAGTCATTAGATGGTTGTTGTTTAATGCGACCAAACCATCTAAGACAACTCTTTCTAATCTTGTTTGCCACTGGAGCTATACCAACCCTTTCACAGATAGATTTGTTTTGTATTTTGTCTCTAAGTGTCAAACCACTCACCACCTAAGCATTCTCATCTCAGCAACACTTAAATTTGTTTTATGCTTATCTTTTATAGGCCAACATTCTGTGTCATAAAGCATTGCAGGTCTCTCAGGTCTTAGCACAATCTTATAAAATTTTCCTTTGTCCATGTGGTACTTTTATATCGCACAATAGGTCCGATGCATTCCTCCACTTCAACCAACGAAGCTGAATTTTATTAATAACATACCTATCTATATCACCATCAAATTGAAAAATAGACTCGAGATATCTAAAGCTTTCACACTTTTTAATAAGTTGATCACACATAGTTACAACTCCGCCACTAGAGCTACTAATACTAAAATTAGATTTCATGTATTCAATATTAGATCGACTCAAAAAAAGGCCTTTACACTCCAATGTAGACCTTCATAATTTAAGTATTTCCTGATCCCTTTCTCTGGTCTTATCCATAAGATGGTTATCATCAGAAAAAAAGTATACACCAAGATACATCCTTATAGAAAGAGGAAAAGAATCCAGCCTTTTTTGCTAGTTCCTCATTTGGACCTTTTCTCATTTAAGTTCTAGAATTAAAATTTATTATTTTCACTGTGTTCCTCCTCTTCATTGCAGAGGGCAGCAAAATCACTCACCATCATTTTTCTTATACCACTATATTTTTCGTAAGTGCCTTGTACATATAGTAAATTATTTGTTAAAAAAATTATTTTGTGATCTTAAGCTATTAGTTTATACTATTGCAAACATTTCATTCACTCGATTTATCAAATTCTCATACTACCATAAATATGAATAAATATGCTAGATGGTCCAACAATTGTTGCGTTTCAAATTTTTTTATTGTGGAAACTGGATGAGTTGTATTGGTATAACACAAGCATCATGTGATCAATAAGGAGTAATTGTTGTGTTTTAAGTTCTGTAAGAAAATTCCAATAAGGATGATATCTAATTGTTTTTAAGACAATAATTTTATGTGACAAAGATGAGCACCTCGCCTCTTTCTTCTCAAATGAAGTGATTATAGGAGTCACCTCCTCGATTGTTTCTGCTTAATCATTACTTGTTACATTGTCAAATGAAAGAACAGTTTAAAATAAATATGCTAGATGGTCCACCCACTTAAATAATTTGCATTCCTTTGGGTCCCAATCACACGAAAGAACATAATAAAAATTGCTTCAAACATGATTTCTATCAGCAAAAAAGGGAAAGAATTTTATTTACCTCGTTCATGCAGATTTCTGTCAGCAAAAAAGGGAAAGAATTTTATTTACCTCGTTCATGCAGGGTGTCAAACAGCTGTTTACGCATGCTGATTATACGATCAGCCATCATTTTCAACTCAACCATCCATTCATTGTACATCTCACTGAAAAAGTTCAAAGCCAAAATTGCATATTTGCTAAAGTTAATATAAGAGATTCAAGGGGGATGCAGGAAGAAGAAATAAATGCTACTAAAGATATCAAACGAAAATTAAAAAAAAGAAGGCATTGAGAAAATACTATATGTGTTTTATTATATTATAAAACAGTAAGAACGCATAAAAATAATACTATTGTTCTTTCTTTGCGTATTTGGCCTCTCCATTTCACTCAAGCTATAAGCTTTTTCCTTGAAAGTGGGCTCGGACACTAAGGCTTTGTTTGAATTAGCATTTTGATAGCTTTTGTCATCTTAGAAAATTGAAATATATATATATATTGTAAATGGTTGGGCTATAATACTTTTCTAGAAGTGCTTTAACAAAACACCATTTTGTAATTATTCTAAGGTCTCGATTAGAAGAGTTTTTTTAGTGCTTTCTGTCCTACAGAGAGTTAGAAAGTCATTTATTTTTTGTTTGTTTGGTTGTGATTCTTTTATAAAAACGTTTTTAAAAAAATTATTTGTTTTCATATCGAGCTGCTATTTACCAATAGCTTTAAAATGCGGTTTTTTAAAAACCACATTTTGAACAAAGTTTTGTAAAAACCGAAGCTCCACCAAATGAAACCTAAATTGTGAGTTCTTCATACGTTTAAAACACTTTTTCTAATATAAATCACAGTTTTTAAGCAAATTTTTAGAAAAGAAACCCAAACAAACAAAGCTTAAATCTGGTTCAAAATCGTAGCCTATTCTTATACTACATACGAGTCAGAGTATTAAGTTTTTAGGTTCAAGAAATTAGTCTTATGCATGCTTCAACTAAAAGTAAAAGCAGTTCAGTCATTCTCACAAATTTGTTTGACAGCATATGTTTAACCTCATTCACGCTACTAATAAAATGTCATTTTTTTGTTTATTCACAAGGCATTTATGCAGGCACAATTATCAAAAAATAAAAAATTAGATTAATTTGGGTCAGTTTCCTTCAATACACCCAAAATAAATAAGAGCTGCAAAAGATATCCAACTTTCAAACCCAAATCACACCAGTGCGATAATTGAAGAAGATCCTTTACCTGTTTTTCAGAATTGTCGCCACTATAGATGCACCATGTATAGGAGGGTTTGAATACATAGGCCTGATTACAAGTTTCACCTGACTCTCAACTCTGACTGCCACATCAGAAGATTTGCACACCTGCAAGGAAAAAAATGGAAGCTTGACGTAAACACACAAACGGGAAAGTTTCCAACTCTCAATTTCTCAGTTTTACAGAATCACCCAAGCACATTAATGGCAAGGGTAATTTACATACATAGCAAACAATTCTTGTACTTACATATCTCACACCTAAACTTCAAAATTTACATACATGGCACTTTGGTGTTTTATACTCATGCATGAAAATGTGTATTTAACTTTTAAAAAGTTGTAATAGTAGAATTTTTGATGTGATATTAAAGACACCTGTGTGTAAATATGAAAGTTTAGGTGTGACATAGGTAAAGAAATGAGAATTGTGTGCTATGTATTTAAATATCCCTTCAAGCAAATAGCAATTATACCATACTGGTGTCGTTGAAACAGGCAATACAAAAGGTGTGCATGTGTGCGTTGTCGAGTGAGCACGGATTTGATGTTTCTCCTTATAATTTGAAAAGATGTGGTATTGTACATTTGCATATTCACAAAGATGCAAAATTTAGCATATAGGAGTTAGAAATAGCACAATAGCACTTTCAAGGTAAACAATCAACAATCCAATCGATTTCTCGATGGAAGAAGCCTCTTACAATGCTCAGTGCGCCAACACGTTCTCCATACAGGCCCATGTTCTTGGCATAGCTTTGAGCGGCAAGGCATTCGCCACCATCGGCAACAAAGATGCGAACAGACTGAGCATCAGCGTCAAGACTTCCACTTGCAAAACCCTAGAAAAGATCTTACATAAGACACTCAAAAGTAAAGAAGCAAACCGAGCAAATAAAATACCGTGCCATGCAAATTATAAAAAGCATGCAAGCGTTGGTCATAACCAGCTTAAAATGATTAATAATGTAATATCACATAAAGAGAGCTGTCAAAATAATGCTTTAAAAAATATTGGAGCCACATTGGAAGATTGCAAATCCATAGGAAGATTTGAATAAATAGTTACATTGAGTTTGAAAGTTTCAAAAGCTTTTATGATCATCATATCCAGTAATTAAGTCATGATGATTAACCAGTATCATCCAGAGAAACAGATAAATTATCAGCAACGTGCTTGACTTTTGACCAATATATTTAAGATTTACGGGCATACCACTTAATTACTATGTATTTGCATATCTAACACCTAAACTTCAATTTTTACACACATGCCATCTTACCTATGAATGAAAAGATGCATTTCACTTTTTAAAAATGAAAATGCTGGTATTTTTTATGTGATGTGAGAGATTTAGGTGATATAAATACAAAAAAGTTAAGTTAGGTGTCAAATATGTAAACACTTAGGACCTGGGTGGTATTTATGTAAATGCCTCTAAAAAAAATCTAATAAACTTTTGTTGTGCATATGCCCATATTTACCTGATAAGCGCTGTCAAAGAAAGGTAGCAATTCCTTTGATCTCATCAGCTGTCTGATCTGCTCCCATTGCTCGAGGGTGGGATCGACACCGGTTGGGTTATGGGCACATGCATGTAGGAGCACTATGGCTCCAGTAGGTGCAGAACCGAGATCTTCCAGGAGGCCTGCCCAAAATTTTTCAGAAAGAAAACCATGAAGAAGAGCATGCTAGCCTGATAAATATGAAAAAAATGTAATAATCCGCAAAACCCATTCTGTGAAATTGAATTATATAAAATTTAAAAAATAAGTCGGTTTTAGAAATTGCTTGGTGATTAAATTGATCAGATGTAAATACAAACCAAGATTTATTCGCTAAATTCAATTTGATGAAAAAGATAATTTACTTGGTTATTAGTGAGAATTGCATTCCTAACTTCACAAGCATAAATTCATCAAACAAAGTTATACTTAAATCCAAGATAGCCAGTACTTTTTTCCAATATCATTTGAATAAAGACCAACTTCAAACACAAGCATTAATTCTTTAGTAAAATTCATCATTCAATTTTAGAATATACATTATTGTTCAACAAAAAAGCTAGCTTACTTGCTTACATTAAGCAAGAAATATATATATATGTATATATATATATATACAAAAGATAGTATTAATATAAGATATAAGACCTTTAGAGAGTTCGAATATTTGGTAGTTGAAATTATATGGTAACAATCGGATGGTACTAAAGCAATAGATAATGCATAAGAAGTACGCACTTTTTTATCATATATAAAAAAAATTTATTAATGATAACTATATAAATTATTTTAAGAAACAATTGAATCATTTTGAAGAAGTGTTCTCTTGCCACCACATTTCCGTGTAATTGTTGATACGAATTTACATTTAAAAATTGATTATACCACATCTAAAAGTCTAAAACCAGGCTACGAGAAGAAACGAAATAACACCCGAAAATAAATAATTTGAAGATATAATAAACTTGAGTTTAAAAGCATTTGCTTTTGGTTACAAAATAACTATAAAATAAAGAAAATATAAGTGAAATATGCTAGAATGAAATTAGAGATTTGAATGGTTCTTTTGCTCAAATAGCTTATCATTCCAAAATGATATCATCAGTATCTAGAGGCTTCATGGGCATTTGAGTTGCAAAAAAAATTTGAGAATTTATGAACAAACTAACCAAGAGACACTAATCAAAACATTTAACACGATATTTTCATGACTCTTTTTATAATTAATAAATACATGATGCATTCATTAAATCAACTTGATATTGTGAATTTCTATTCCTATAATTCTAGTTAACCATTGGAATTCAATTATCCATTTAGATGTGATGACCGAGATTATTTTTAAAATTGAAAGAATGTGGCCATAAAGTAGGAAAATCACATTTCACATTTTAGATACAAGTATGGATTTACATTTCAAATCATTTCGATTAGACTATATCTTCAGTAAATTCTTCTTACCCATACATTGCTTGCATGGTACTCAATCATTTGTTGTTAAAGAAAAGAGAAAAAACAAAAATAAACTTCAAATGATAGACCAATAAAATTAAATAATATACTCAATAAGGAAAGAATTTTGTCACTCCTACCATGAAAATTCAGCCCTCGTGTTGCTGGGTCATAATAACGATAGTACTTGACAGCCAAGCCAGCCAATGTGAAAACTTTTGGATGGTTTCCCCATGTTGGCTGGGGAATGTAGATAGTTCTCTAGAATAAAGGAATGAAATTTTAATAGAACTGTTAAATTACACCAAAATTACCATAATAAAAAATAATACTTAGTTTTTAACGGAAAGAACCCACTTCATGGTAATGCCTTGCTAGAAATTCTCCTCCAACCCTCAATGATCCAGTACCTGATAAGCATTGCACTGTAGCCACTCTATTTTCCTGAATGGCAGGGCTGTTTGCAAAACGCAATAACCTTAGCAAAATATCAAGTCCAACTTCATGCAGGAATGGGAGGAGTACAAATAATAATTATACAAATTTAGACAACATAAGCTAAGAAAAGTATTTTGCATGTTTGCTTTGTTTATTTTAGAATCAATATTGAACTAAAATCTTGTAGTAGAATACCTGCTAAATGCATGGAAATAAGATAGTACATAAAATACTGTCGATATTTAACCAATGATTAATTTATGTGATTGTAGAGTGAATGCATATGAAGTAAAAAGTGTAGAAAGAAGAAGAACAAACTTGATCCGAAGGAAAATAGAAGCAATGTAGATTTCAAGAAAACAAAATTTGGCCAGCTATTCCATAGCCAATAATGCAAGCAATCAAAAAATCTAAGTTTTAAGACGGTCTAAATAATAAAAATATGTTTAGGAACTTTCTTAGATAGAAGATTCACTCAAATCATTCCGGTATTCTATGTATTCCTAAAATTTAACTCTAAAATAAATCAAAGCCACCAACGTAAAAACAGTTTACTCCCTCAGAAAGAGAATTACTTGGAGACATAAATAAAAAAAATCCACTAAAAAGGCTACTTGCTCCTTCTAAATAAAATTATCTTTCAAAGATCCGATTACCACCTGGAACTTCAAATCTCTAAAATGGTCAGTATAAAGATAGGTCCTGAGTCCTAACAATACTATTTGTTTATCTGCTGCACCTTATGCTTTGTAAATCAAAAGAAAAGCAATAACTAATTAACTTCTGCAAAAATCTCTTTTATAATGAAAATTCCCTAATAAGGAGTCTCCCATTGAATGAGCTTCATATAATTCTTCACCATTTGACAAGAGCATGAGTATATAATTTTTAAACACCAAAAGAACCTCTAATTGTAGATTATATTTTTTGAAACAAGCGAGCACTTACCTGCCGGCTCCAAATATAAGCTTAGCACTTAATTTATTGAAATCCGACAATCCTGTGATGGGGAGATACTCCTTAACACGCGCCCTAGTAAAAATCAGTAGAACATAATAAAAACAATGTCCTAGTTAATATTGGCGGCAAGTAATACTTTTGATTGAAACAAAAATTACAAACAAAATACCAACTGCAAATGAATGAGATTTAAGTTATAGGAATTAGTAATTCCAATAAATCTGGATTTATGGGATTTACTAAATCCTAAAGGTGTTAAATCCTAAAACTGTCTAGCCATAGATTTACTAAATCCCGTAAATCATGAAAAACTGTTTGGCAAGTTCTACTGGAATTTAAAAATATTACAGCTGTTGGACTGAAAAAAAAAATTGCTAACTTAAATCCTCACCCCACTAACTTAAATCCTCAGATTTGCAGGATTTAGTAAATCCGAATTTACGCCGAAATCGGTGAAATCCGGAAATAACAAATTCACGGCTTTATTTTGTCCAAAATGACTGTCATCCTGCTTAAATCCCGGGATAAATCCGGTGCCATACTCTTTCATCCATCCTCACATTTCATAAATTTGAAAATAATGAAGAACAAGCAAAAGAAGATTTCATTAAAAAAAAGACTTTTGGACCATGGAAGTAGAGTACATAGAAAGCCGGATAACATAAGCATCATCCCATTAACACGCCTGATGTCCCGATACTATAACTAAGCTAGAGGAGGACTACGAAACAAATGATGTTAAAACCAATTTGAATCAAAGAAGAAATGGAAAGACGAATTCCACAAGAAATTCGACAGAGAAACAATTTACCCCAACCATTTGAACCTTAATAAATTCCCCCCAAAATGAAAAAAGAAAAAAGAAAACATAACTAGGTAACGCATAAATTGTAAAGATAAAATAAAAAGAAATGCATACGGATCGTTGACCAGTAGCTGCTCGGCTTTCCTCACCACGTTCAAAACAAGCGGCCTCCCTTCCTGTTTCAATTACAAAAAAAAAAAAAACAGATATGAAACACAAACAGAAAATTAACAAAACGATTTGGGACCTCCTCATTCGCATAAATCATCGACTCTTACCTCAGTCCGATAGGCGCCAACACCCAAATTAACCTTTACGGGGCTCGGATCCTTGTTGTAAGCAACCGTCACCTAAGGATTCCCCACATAAGCAACCCAGATTCAAAGAAGAGATTAAATAAAGCGGAATGGAATCCCTAATCAAAGAGAGAGAGAGAGAGAGAGAGAGAGAGGGAAGATGATTACTCCGAGGATCGGATCCTCGGGGGCCTGCGAGATGCTGGCAAACACAGAGGCGGCGGCGCCGTTGGATCCAGCAGTCGGAGACGGCGAGAGAGCGGGATTTTGATTCACGGAAGCCATGGCCGGGGAATGGCCGGTCAAGTGATTGGCGAGGGTACTTAACCTCCAGTTTGTCGTGGGAAACTGCTGGCTCACGTTAGCATCTTCCATCACTCGTATTGTTTATCTTACGCGCCAGCGCACTTTGACGAGGCTAGAGGTATATTTCAGCCTGCGGTTTTATAAAGCACCGGCGGTTGTATGGTTAATTTTTATCTTTTTTAGTGGGCATCAAATTTTAGAGAAAATTTGCAGATATAAAGATATAAGGCGTACGTAGTGTTGCATATATCAGATAGATTATTTAGAGGGTATTGAAGGGTTATATCTGCGTTGTACCTCTGTAACCTCTTACTTATATATTATAGTAAATTTCGCGCTTCTCTTTTCATATATTTGCAGGTTACAGGTAGGTTATAGGGGTATAGTATTGATATAATCCAGTACTCTTTGAATAAACTCTCAAACATATATCTTTCTAAGCAAAATTTTCTCCAAATTTTCGAAGGGAGATGTAAATAAATAAGATTTGTGTGTGTGCTGCCTTTACAAATTTACTTTTTATTTAAATAATGTTATATATATATATATATATGATCAT